GTCATAACCACGGTCTTATATACAGGTCTTGCAACTTCGCCCAATTTCAATAGGAAAAGTGACCTCTCTAATGAGACACCCACCAGATGGCGCATCGAGTTGGATGGATAAACCATAGATGTTTAAAGGTCGTTTTTACCTTCTTTATCTTTGGCTTTTACAATCGTTAGATAAGCTCTCTGGTGGATAATTTTCTTAGATGGAAGGTTTCTATGAAAGTTATCCGCCAAATAAGCCAACTTAATCTAACGATTGTAAAACCGGCTCTAAGTCCTTAAAGTCTATGGGATAAAAGGTCAAATGAACTACCTACTTATGTTCTGTGAAGAAACATAACCTACATTTTTATAAACAAGCTTGTGTATTTTGTTACAGGGAGTTTTTACTTATTGTTATTGTGATATTCGTTATTGTTATATTAATATTGTTCTATTTTTTCTTGTTATATTTGTTCTTGTTATATTTGTTCTTGTTATACATTTGTATTTGTGCTTTTTAATAGACATGAAGTCCTGTGTTGTGCCAAAATGTAAACAGCAAAGCTATCGTTCCGGCATTAAAATTAAGCGGTCCATGTTTAAAGTGCCAATAAATAAGGAGCGGTTAAAAACATGGCAATGTGCAATAAAAAACATATTATAGACCTATCCCATAAAACAGACTTTTGGATAGCGCGTGCCTGAAGAAGAGTGGTATCTCCAGGGCTGGATGCTCCCGTGTACGAGTTTTGGTTCGTCCCGCGCATGAAAACTTGATGAGTAGTTGCCGTGCGAATACACGAATATTATCAAAGAAAATAGAGAAATTTCTGGACATAGTGCGTTTTTATTAAACTTAATATTGAAGAAAGTGTTATAATATGGATAATAAATTAAACTTATAGTCATTGTCCAGAAAATGTTTATAGGAAACAGAAGCGGTCTTAACGTAAATATTGTCTATTATTTTTGTGGCATTTAAACACTGTTTCCACAAATCAAACTTTTTCGGGAATCGATTAAATTTAATGTTTTTATTTAAAGGGTTTTTCTTGGACTGGTTGTCCGAATTGCATCCAAATATGCCACACCGCATTTTAATACATGCAAATGGCACTATACAATCTAAAACACAAACAAAACAAGTTAACGCAACACAAAAACAATAATAAACAAACCTAACAGGTTAACCTAACGCAATAACAATAATTTGAACGCTGAAAAGAAATTCGAACCTTACCAAACACAAAAACGACAAGTTAAACAAAAAGTAGAGCAAGTTAACATCCAAAAGCATCGCAAAAACAAGAATAGGTAGATAATTAAAAAGCACGTTAAAGATTTAAAAACACTCATCAAGTGACGTCATTAAGCCCCGCCCAACATGCGCACCATCCTATCTTAAGGTGTATGTATCTTGGGTTACCCAAGTTGGGTATCTCTTTCTCTTTTATAATTAAAAAAAGGACGAGGTGCCTTTTCACGCACGCGCAATCCAAAAGTCCGTTTTATGGAATAGGTCTATTGACACCTTCACATTTTGTATGATTATTATATAATTAAGCACATCGTGTTGGTGAAATATATATTATTTTAAATAACGCTGTGTCTAGTCTCACGCTAGCGTGAACGCAATTTTATTTTTATTCTCACGCGGTGACGTCACTAAAGGTAACATAACCTAAGATTCTTTCGTGAGAATAAAAATTAAATTGCGTTCACGTTAGCGTGAGAATAAGAATAAAATTGCGTTCACGCTAGCGTGAGACTAGACACAGCGTTTAAATAAACAATCAACCCATCCCCGCCAAGACAATAAAAAAATCGGTTATTAATAAATTAGCCAGAATATTGGTTGGTTAGTTTGTAAACTATCTAAAGCTTGGATATGTAGTGTTACTAGAAATTATGGTTTTCATATTAGCCAAATTGAATTGGATAGTTTACAAATTATCCAGCTATTCCTAAATAATTTCAAGTAAATTAGCCAAGACCCTTGGTTGGTTTACAAACTAGCCGCTAATTTAGTTAAAAATACGTTTTCAATTAAAATAGCTGACAGTTTGGCTAGTTTATAAACTACCCAGCTACTTTATAAACTATCCATGTTTACACATTAGCCGTAACATATATATGATATACGTATGTATTTTATACATTAACATGTTTTACTTACATGTTTGGTCTGGGCATGTGACGGCCGAGGACTTTGTGCATAGAGTATAGACTTTGTTGTCCTATTTTGTTAACGTAAATTATCCGAAACAAACTCACAAATATTAAATTTTTGAAAATGTAAACAAAACATAGAAAAAGAATTTAAAAAGTTAGGTTATGGTTATGCAGTAGTTCCACATTTAACTAAGTAGTAGTTTAATTGACTTTACCCCTTCGATCTTAGCGCCACCTAGCGGCTTGGCACGTTAAGGAAGCCACCTCGAAGCTTAAAGTTGCAAGACCTGTGGTCATAACAGATGTAATTTTTGCCATCTGAACTAACAGATGTCAAATTGACGGATGACAAAAATAAGCTATAACAGATGCCACTTTTGCCATCTGAAGTGACAGATACCAAAAATTTCAAATGTCAAAAATGACAGATGACAAAATTAAATAAAATTTTGTGCCACGCGGCTTTAGCAACCGAACTTCAAAATTCAGAATTTTTATGACTTGACCCCTGTTAGGAGTGAATAGAGAAGTTTATAAAACGAGTTGCATACTATACTTTATCTATGACGAACAGAAATAAGAATTTAAAGCCAATTTTATTTCATAAAATTTGACATTTGACTTTTTTGCAATTTATAATAAAGCTAAGTGCAGCCCGTGATTAAAAAGCCCAAAATTGTTGCTAACTTCAGCCCGTGACTAAAACGTCATAAAGTCACAGCTCGTTAATGTAGGAGTAGATAAACATTCTAAAATTTGATTTGAATTTGTTTTTGACACCCTAAGATGTATTTTGACATTTTAAAATGATTTTTGGGATGCTTACATACTTTAAACATTCTAAAATGTAATTTGACTTTGTTATTGACATGTATTTTAAAATTTAAACTCTATTTTTTAAAATTTTAAAATGATTTTTACAATCTTACATACTTTAAACATTCTAAAATGTAATTTGACTTTAATTTGAAATCTGATTATGTATTTTTACATTTTAAAATGCTTTTGATATTCGTACATACTTTTAACATTCTAAAATGCGATTTGACTTTTTTTGAAATTTTAAGATGTCACAAACATTTTAAAATGATTTTAAATACTTTCAAGATTCTAAAAAGTGACTTGACTTTGTTTTTGACATGCTAATATGTATTTTGAAATTTAGACTATATTTTTGACATTTTAAAATGATTTTTAGCATTCTTAGATACTTTCAAAAAAAATGTATTACAAAAAGTAGATTTTAAAATTTTAGTTTTACTTAATTTTAAAAATACTTTTAACTTTCTAAAATGTGATTCAACTCTGTTTTTGAGATTTTAAAATGTGCTTTTTGGGTTGTAAGGTTTACACAATCGAAATTATTTTGCTTATTTTAACTTAAAACGTGAATCGACTCTTCGGAGGGGACTTTCAGCCCGCGGTCAGTTCCTACCCCTAACCCGCTCAAGCCATTCAGTTGGCTTCTGGGATTTCTTAGGAAGTAAGGGTGGAACTAAAGAGCACTTTTGTATATATTGTTTTTAAAATTCTATTATGTGTTTTTGACATTCTTAGGAAGTAATAACATTCTAAAATGTATTTTTAACATTCTTAGAAAGTTATAAAATTTTTAAATGTGGTTTTGGACATTTTAAAATGCTTTTGGAATCGTTAAATGCTAAAATCCGATTTGACTTTATTTTGACATCTAAAGATGTATTTTTCACATTTTAAACTCTGTTTTTAACACTTTTTTGTGTAATTTTGACATTTTAAAATGTGTTTTATTTAAGAAGTAATTTTTGAGTAGTATGACTTTTAAATATAATTTTATTTCCTTTAATTTCAAAAATACATTCTAAAATGTAATTTGACTGTTTTGGAATTCTAAGATTTATTTTGATATTTTATTTTCCATGTTTAACATTTTAAAATGTTTTTGGTTTTCTTAAATACTTTCAACATTATAAAATGTGCTTTGACTCTGATTTTGACATTTTAAGATGTATTTTTTGACATTTTAAACTGTTTTTAACATTCCATAGTGTGTTTTTGACAGGTATTATAGGAAGTAGTTAATAAAATCTAATTTTGTTTTTTTAATTTAAAAAATTATTTTTTAATTTTAGAAATGCTTTTTAAAATGCGATTCTAAAATGTTTGGGTTATTAATTTTATAAAATATTTTTATATTTTAATTAAATATACTTTTAACATTACAAAAGGTGATTTGTTTTTAACATTTAAATATAAGATGTATTTTTAACATTCTTAAAAAGTAATAACATTCTTAAACATGGTTTTTGCGTTCCAAAGTTTATAAAATCGTTTTTTATTTTAACTTTCTAAAACGCGATTTGACTGTTTTAAAATGTTTTTTGGTATTCTTAAATACTTTTAACCTAATAAAATGTGATTTGACTCTGATTTTGACAATTTAAAACGTATTATTTATTTATTTATTCTTAAAATTTTATAAATATTCTAAAATAAAATTCGACTTTTAAGATTTTATAACATTTTTTGGGTTGTAAGGTTTATAAAATCGAATTTAAAACGTAATTTGACTTTTTTGTTCTTTGCAGTAATAACATTCTAAAATGTGTAATTAACAAGTTGTTTTTGAGTTATAAGGTTTATTAAAATATTTTTTTTTATTTAACATTCCAAAAGGCAAGATGTATTTTTAATATTCTTAAAAAGTAATAACGTTCTAAAATGTGTTTTTAACATTCTTAGAAAGTTACAACATTGTTAAATGTGAAAATGTTTTTGGTATTCTTAAATCCTTTTTTCTACTCTCATACGTTGCTTCGTGAAAGAGGAACAAAAAAGGGCAAGTAAAAAATAAAATACAACATTCCCTACCTTTCTCAGCTTGATGCCATCCCTGATGGCCTTGAGCAAATCGTTCCTGGGATCGGCCATGGGCGGCGGCTTCTGCGCGATCTGCCTGTCCTTGACGGGCGTCAGCTTCGGCGGCGTCGAGTTGAGAATGTGGGCCAAATTACCCATGACGCCGTTCATGAGAGCCTGCGGCGGCGAACCTTGCGCCGCCCCGCCGCCGTTCACCATCGGCATAGGCGGCGGCGGCGGAGGCGGGGGAGCGGCGACCGCGGGCTGCTGCTGCTTGGGAGGCGATTGTTGTTTGGGCGCGGGCGGCGGCGGCGGCAGGTCCTGCTGCGGATCGGGGGCGGGCGATTGGCTGCGCGGCGATTGGCTCGATTGGCGGGCGAGATGCGCCGGCAACCCGTTCGGCGGGGAGGATACCGCTTCGGGGGGCGGCGGCGGAGGAGGCAGGGTGTCGCGCCCCGTCGACATGCTGCGACCTACATTGCAAAATTACTTTTACTTTCCTAATTGTGTTTTTGACATTCTTAAATACTTTTAACATTCTAAAATGTGTTTTTCACATTTTAAATTGTGTTTTTTAAATAGTGCTTTGACTTTTTAATTGATTTTTGACATTTTTTAGCTTTAACGTCCCACAATTTTATTTGACTGCAATGTGATTTTGACGTTATAAAATGTGTTTTTTTACATTTTACGCTATTAAATATTGCTTTAAGATTTTAAAATGGCCTTTAATCGATTTTTGACCTTCTTTAGCTTTTAAATTATGCAATGTGATTTTGACATTTTTCAATATTGCTTTAACATTGTAAAATTAGATACTTAAATACTTTTAACATTCTAAAATGGTCCGATACGTGGAAATTTTAAACGATGTAATGCTCCCGTCAGTGCAAGAAAGATTTGATAATGATTTTGTGTTTCAACACGTAACACTTAATGATCTATCTTTCCTGATCAAAAAAATAAATTTTTTTCATTTTAAGGATAACTCGCCAGTTCACACTGCTCATGTGGTTCATAATTGGCTAGAAGAAAATCACATTACAACGCTTCCTTGGCCGTCAAGAAGCCCCGATTTAAACCCAATCGAAAATATTTGGGGATATATGTCGTAAAAAAAATATATAAATATGAATTTAGACCAAGAAATAGAGAAGACCTTATTAATGCAATTCAAAATTAGTGGAACAATTTGGAAGAAAATTACGATATGCAAAATTTAATTAGTTCCATGCCTAGGAGATTACAAAATGTTATAGAGAAGAATGGTGGTTCTACCAAGTATTAATTTTTTTTTAAATGGAGTTTTTATAGCATTACAAATGTGTAAGATTATGTAAGATAATGCCTGAGGGAGAGCTGAATGAAAAAATTGCCAGGGCCGGTTTTTCTGAGCCCATCCAACCCTGGTTGGCTCATCTTTTATAATTGTTATAGTCGTAGTATACTATTTCTTTTTAAGTTTAAATTTATTTATTTTGGTCGCCCAATAAATAATTTGTTCTTTTTCTTTGTATTACGAATAAACATGCTTTATATAATTTAAGTTTTTTTTATTAAAAAATTAAATATGTCATACAACTATGATTTCTTGTCAAAATAATTTAATTGACATGACTGACGTAAAAAACCCTACTTACAATAGCCAATTTTTAGGAAAAACATGCAACTTGATAAAGAATCGATTACTTTTTATCAGCCGCAATAGTACCTATTGACTTTCTAAATTGTGGTTTGACATCCAATTTTTGTTTTAAAATTATAAAATGTTTCAAAAATCTATTCTTTTAATTTTTTGATTTTGAACTTATAAAATGTGTTTTTGTCATTAAAAATTGAGTTTCTTGATAATTTAAGGCTTCTTTTACCATTCTAAAATGAGTTTTTGAAATAGGTATAATTATATTCATTTAGTTAATTTTAAAAAGTTTTCCTCTGAGATCTTTTTATAATATTATATAAGCTAAATTGCATATAAACTTTTTTAATTCTACAGCTAAACTTTTAAAACGTTTGCTATTGCATTTGTTATCGAACTTTAATTTTATAAATATTTTTATATTTAAAAGCATTGCACAAAACTAGTTTATTTTATAAAATTGGAGTACCTTTTAATTTTATTTAAAAAAATTAATAGTATATGAGTAAAAAAAATAGCAGGCAGCCAGAAACCTTTCTACTCCTACACTTTTCAGATAAAATCAATATATTAATTTTGTTCTTTAACATACCTCTTGTTGGCGTGTTGGCACTGGGCGTGCTCCCGTTGCTAGGCGGCGCCGGGGGCGGCTGACTCGGCCGGATTTTCCTCGTCGGCGTGCCGGGCATGTTCAAGGACTCCGAACTCAAAGGACCTTGCCCGTACATGCCCTGCATCATGCCTTGCGAATAGGGATTCTCGTCGTAGTGGTGGTACGCCGCCGGCGATGGCATGCCGTCCGGCATCTCTTGCCCGGGACCGCCGTAAGATCTCCTTATTTCTATGGAGTTCGGGCGAGGGGGGCGCTGCTGATCTGCCAGCATCATGTCGTCCGGGTGGAGCTGCTGGATTTGTTGGGGGGTCCTGGATTTCAAAAGCCATTCGTTAATGTTTACAAAAAGCAATATTTCGGGACAAATTCAGCATTTCATTTGACACTCTCAAATGTGATTTGCCATTCCTATATGTTTTATACAATCCTAGGTGTATTTTATATTCTAAAATGTGTTTGACATTCCAAAGTATGCCTTACATTTAAAAATTTGATTGATCTGACATTCTAAAACGTGATTTGACATTCTAAAATGTGTACTTAACATTTACAGTATTCTTAGTTATGTCTGACATTCTAACATGTGTTTTAGGATTCCTAATTAAGTTGTATGCCTTACATTTTAAAATGTGATTTGACATTAGAAAATGTTTTTGACACCAACTTTAAAGTATGCCTTACATTTTCTAATGTGATTTGACATTCTAAAATGTGTTCTTGACATTCTATAATGTGTTCTTGACATTCTTAAATGTCTGACATTCCAAGATACAGTCGTATGCAAATAAAAAGCGTACACGTATTAAAATGAGAGGTACTTCATTTGTAATTGTACAGTTTTAGAGTTTTTTAAAATTCAGATAACTGACGATTCAATTAGCTGTCAAACTGACGCGGCTGGTTTACATATTTGACCAGTGCAGTACCTCTCATTCTAAGGCTGTACGCTTTTTATTTGCATACGACTGTATGTCTGACATTATAAAATGTTTTGGACACCAAAGTATGCCTTACATTTTCAAATGTGATTTGACCTTTTAAAATGTGTTCTAGACATTCTATAATATGTTCTTGACATTCTAAAGTATGTCTGACATTCTAAAATGTGATTTTACATTCTAAATTTGGCCTTACATTTTAAAATGTGATTTGACATTCTAAAAATGTGTTCTATACATTATATAATGTGTTCTTGACATTCTAAAATGTGTTCTTGACATTATAAAGTATGTCTGACATTCTAAAATGAGTTTTTGTCATTCTAAGGTATGTCTGACATTCTAAGATGTATTTTTGACATTATAAAATGTCCCAAAGTATGCCTTACATTTTAAAATGTGATTTGACATTCTAAAATGAGTTTTTGACATTTTAAGGTATGTCGGACATTCTAAGATGTATTTTTGACATTCTAAAGAATGTCTGACATTCCAAGGTATGTCTGATATAGAGATGTAAAATGCTCGAGCATTTATTTTTGGGGAACGCAAATTGAGCACAAACGAGAATAAACAAAAAAATCCCCAGAATTTATATCAGCACAGTCGAATTAGGACATTGCACGTTTTTTCTCAATATTCTCGAAAAAATTCCTAATTTTCTCAATATTCTCGAGAAGATTACCTTTTTTCTGGGTAATAAAATCTTTTCTTTATAAAAAAAACTTTTAATTAAATGGTTTAATCGAATTGATACATAAAAAACATAATAATTTTAATTTAAATAACTTATAATAAGGGAACAAAACTCAGTCTTCTTAAGCTACACAGAGTAAATATAAATGGTTTAAGGAGGTTTAAGACCGTTTTTTAAAATAATACCATGATTTTTAAATGTTTGTTATCAAAAGGTCATCTTTTAAAGATAAACAAATAAAATTATTACCGACAAAATATCATGTTTCTTTTCCACGCGGCTTTTGAGATATAAATGTTTTAAATATATAGGTACATTATTAATGAAAATGTATGCATATATAAAACCAAATTTAAAAAAAATATTTTAATAAACCGCGAGAGAAAATAAACTTGAAATTTTGTCATTTAATATTTTATTTATCCTCTTTTTAAGTCAAAAATTTGAAAATTAAGGTAATATTTTAAAAAACAATCCTGAACCTCGTTCATCAAATTATTTGAAAAAAATTCTAAAATTAAAAATAATGGAAAATTATAGGTACTGTATAACTAACTAATGGACTAGAAAAAATAAGAACCCATAACTAAAAATGTACCTAAACTGCGGTATATAATATATATTATTAAACCGGTAAACGTAATATATATGAAAACAAAACAAAATAATTTTTAAAGCAACCGAAGGAAATTAAATCATTATCCCACTGATTTTTATTCTAGGGCCTAGAATCTAAGCCAATAGAGCATATTCAGGGGAAGCTTCTCGATTGTGCTCCAAAATGCTAGGCCGGGAAAGTGCGCGCAATTTTATTTGAAGCTTCGCGAATCTTAGCGAAGCTTCCCTGAGCACAATCGAGAACGTTCCCTCCTTCACATCACTAGTCTAGTTATAAAATGTTTTTGACATTCTTGATTAAATTATTTCCATTCTAAAATATGTTCTTGACATTCTAAAATGTGATTTGACATTCTAAAATGTGTTCTTGGCCTTCTAAAATATGTCTGACATTCTAAAATGTGATTTGACATTCTAAAACGTGTTCTTGACATTCCAAAGTACCTATATCTGATGTTCTAAAAGGTGTTTTTGGGATTCCTAATTAAGTTGTTGACATTCTAAAATGTGTTTTTGACATTCTAAAGCAGCTGTTCTTAACCTTTTTGGCTGGCGACCCACAATTCAAAAATATTAGAAGCTCGCGATAAAAAATAAAATCATCAATTTTCTACATTTTCTTTAGTAAGTTAAAAAAAATTTTTGTAATCAACTAACACAAATCCCGCAAGTCCCGCGACCCAAATTTAGGTCGCGACCCGAGTTTAAGAAACGATGTTCTAAAGTATGCCTTACATTTTAAAATGTGTTCTTGACATTCTAAAATGTGATTTGACATTTTAAAATGTGTTCTTGACATTCTTAAGTATGTCTGATATTTTAAAATGTGTTTTTGACATAATCAAGTATGCATTACATTCTAAAATGTATTTAACACTCTTAAGTATGTCTGACGTTCTAAAATGTGATTTGACATTCTTAAATGTGTATACTTTGGAATGTCAAGAACATTCCAAAGTATGTCTGACATTTTAAAATGTGTTTTTCCATTTTTAAGTATGTATGATATAATCAAGTATGCATTACATTCTAAAATGTATGTATAACACTCTTAAGTATGTCTGACGTTCTGAAAATATGATTTGACATTCTAAAATATGTTTTTAAAATTCTAAAGTATGCCTTACATTTTGAAATTGGTTTTTGACATTCTAAATTGTGTTTTAAAATTCCAAAGTGTGTCTTACAGAGCTTAGAATTTATCAAAAACCTGACTTGATGGAGCCATTCTGATAAGGTCCCATTCTAATTCAGCGCTTCAAAAACGTTCCCCCTTTTTTTGATAAAGTAACATTTATATAAGGGCGTTTCTCTGTAAACTGGGCAACTCATTGTCTCAAGCTAATATTGTTTAGAAAAATAACAAATCATAAATATTTCGTAGATAACTTCAAAAGATAATAACCTAATCTACCTATGCTCGACGTTCAAAATCCAATAAAATAAACTTTAATGTATCAAAATCGTTTTTATAGTCCTTAAAAACCAGTCCCCTGACGTGTCACCAAAGCAAAATGGTCACTTCAGACTAAATTAATTAAAGACAGTAACTATTGGAATCAACCTAATTGTTTAATTATTCAACCAATATTGTTTGCTTGTTACTGTGACTTATTTATTTTTTATAATTATTATTTTGTAATTCTAAAAAAGTCATCTAAACTTTGTCTCCGGATTTTATAAACAGTCACCTGTATAGATTTTTCAGAAAATGCTCAATGTTTTCCAAAGTAATAGGAATATTTTTGGTTCATCTGCCGTATACTAATAAATAGACCGATATTTATTCCTCGAATAACATTTATTAAATACAACAAAAATATAACAAAAAAACTTGCCTAGACAATTTCTTACTTCAAGTTGCCCAGTTTACAGAGAAACGCCCATAAACCTTCTTTTGCGAATCTAGAAAGCAGGAACATGCGTCAAAGCTATCGGAACATACCTGTAGATGGCGCTGGGATTCATGATAGTCTCCCCGTGGCCGACCGCGATCTGCTTCTGCCTTTCCCTGGTGTTGTGCGGCAGGCGCACCTTCTTTTTGCTGCGTTGGCCCTGGCCACCTTCTGCGCGAGGCTTGTGCGGCTTTTTTCCTCGATCGTGCATCATGCGTTCCGTATCGATGAGCATTTCTTGTCGCCACAGCTCGAAGAAGTAGTTTGGGTCCGTGTAGAATTTAAGGCCGTCTTTTCCATCGTCCCTGTAGCAATTTAGCTTGTCCAGGGGCGGAGGTCGATCGCAGACGGCGTAGGTTTCGTGCATTGCAGTAGGCATGGTCGGCCTAGCGAAGATCTGTAAGTGAAAATTAGATTATTTATACAGGGTGTCCCGAAATTGGCGGATTGGTAAAGGTAAATTCTTCTTAAAATTCCAAGACGAATTTTCCTTTCCATTTTTTCAAATTCGCAAATTAACAGGAGTATCGTTTTGCGTTTTTACTACTTTTTCAAATGAAATTTGACATTTTAAAATGTGATTTGACGTTCTAAAATGTGATTTGGCATTCTCAATTTTTTCTGGACATTCTAAAATGTGTCTTTGACAATCTCAAGTATGCCTGACTTTCTTAAATGTGAGTTGACATTCTAAAATGTGTTTTTGACATTTCAAAGTATGTGTGACATTTAAGAATGTAACATTCTCAAGTATGCCTAATATTCTTAAATGTGACTTGACATTCTAAAGTGTGTTTTTGACATTCTAAAGTATGTGTAAGAGTCTAAACTGTGATTTGAAATTCTAAACGGTGTTTTTGACATTCCAAAGTATGTCTGACATTTAAGAATGTGATTTTTGACATTCTTAAGTGGCTAACATTCTTAAATGTAACTTGACATTCTAAAATGTGTTTTTGACATTCCAAAGTAGGTATGTGTAACAGTCTAAATTGTGATTTGAGATTCAATACGTTGTTTTTGACATTCCGAAGTATGTTAGACATTTGAAAATCCGCCTAACATTTAAGAATGTGATAGACCAGAAATACTGCGCTTTCATTGGCGGCTTTAGTAATAGATTACATTGATTGGAATATGTAAGTTGACATAGTAAAATGTGACTTGACATTCTAAAATGTGATTTGACATTCTAAAGGGTGTTTTTGAAAGGGTCGAAAACTGCGCTCTCATTGGCGGCTTTAAACGTTATAAACTCCTGCAACATGGCGAATTTTGGGACACCCAGTACATAAAACCGCACTGTTTTAATTCGGGGTGTTTTCCATTATGTTTTTATTTTATATTGGTGTTAATTCATTATTATCTGCTATAAACAGACAAAAGTTTAATTGAAAAATTGCATTTCCTTTTTACAACTATCATAAATTATAATGAACATCCCGCGATGTCTATTAATAATATAAATCTAAGCAGTTATAATTAGAATGGAATTTTATAACCAAACAAAGATAATAATTAAAAATTGTATTACTTTATCTGCTTTTTAAAATTGTCTATGAAATATTGGATTTAGTGTGTAAACGAAAAAAAGTTTTTTAAATTTTATTTAGGAGTAGGATTGATATAATAGGAAACCCTTCATTTGCAAACACCAGGATTACGAAGAATTCCCCCACAGAAAAAATACACAGTTACATCCTGTGTAATTAGTATGTACTCAACAAATATTTTTACTATTTACAAGTAAGCATTATACCTTTAGCTATAACCGCAAAGATACTAAAATTAGCGGATTAACAATTTTACTATTTGCAAAACTGTACAATAGTACTCTTATTGTTAATTAAACTTCAATATTCATATGCTGTGTTAATGGATGCCTAGTCTAACCGCGCGCCCGGAATTGTGCTCGAGCACTAACCAAGCCCGCCTGAGCTACATTGAATTAAATAAACAGTTGTTAAATAGCACAACTTATTTATATTATCGGCAGTTAAATGCTTTGAACAAAATTAATATTTACAGCTTGTGTAGTTGCTGGCACTGCATAAAAATGCAAAATAAACACGTAAATATACACCACATGTCTGGTTAATGTAAAAAGTTGCATTAATTAACGTCTGATATCGGCACTTTTAGATATAAAAAATCGTTATATTATAATTATGAGTCAACTAATTTAGTTTTGAAGCAAATCCACAAATGCATAATATATTTTTAGATTGCATGAAAGGTGTTTTTATATGCTGCAGATAAACAATGGCATGTCCATTTAATTTGCATAATTGTGTGAAGTAATGGGAAATTTTTAGACGCTGCTAATTCGTGTGTTAATTTTTGTTTGTTTGGTATTATTTTTAATTGTTTGGTTTGTTCTCATCGCTACAACGGGAACACCACACAAATGTAGAAAGTGAATTTTAACCTATTTTCACCCAACCGACTTGGATGAAATTTTGCACACACTTTTGGTGCTGATAAGACAATTTTAGTAGGAAATACTTGCAACACAAATACCAAAAATGCAGATACACTGCGCGTCAAAATTAACGCATAAAAAAAAATTCCAACTCTGTAAGGGTCCTGTAGTATATAAACTTCTAAATTCAAATTTGGCGCTATTTTTACCAAGGAAAATCCTATTGCATTTTAAAATTTCACTTCTTCGTGTCTGAACGTCGAAATATTAGGGGTGATCTGTTTATGTTACACATTCTTGCTTAAGTGGCAGAGAGTTTAAAAGCTAGTTTAGGAAATAGAATACACACAGAGTGTTTTTGCTCGCCCTTCGAGATACTCCTGTTAAAAAAGTGTGTGTGATATATATTATAATATAGTTATAGTTTTTGTGATTGTTACCGATTTTCTGCTATAATTAGGTATGTACACTTTTTTAAATTGTAATATTTGCTAATAATGATAAACAACTCCTCGTTTTGGGTTTTCTTAATACATTTTTGCTTATAATTTTAAACAATATTATTTAATTTGCATTTTGGCCTATGACGTTTATCATTGCTAGTTTATTGGGTCCTAATCGTTTTAATATGTGTAAATAACGAGTGATTTTTGGTAATAATTTTTTATTGTATCACTATTTCATTATTTTGGTTAATATCTTGGGATCGCGCATACACTGAGTTATTATCTTTATGTTGTCGCATTTACTATACTGCCGTGCTTAATGAAAACGCCGTAACCAACAATTTTGCGATTTTTGGTTTACGGCATTTTCTACTAGAACAATTCATCCTGCGTCTATCCCCGGTACTCAAAAAACCGTATATATATAGATACGGTTTTTTGAGTACCCTGGATAAGCGCAGGATGAATTGTTCTAGTAGAAAATGCCGTAAACCAAAAATCGCAAAATTGTTGGTTACGGCGTTTTCATTAAGCACGGCAGTATATACACTGAATTATATTTAACTTAAATTTTAATATTTTGTATTGTCTTTATTTTGAGTCACACTGGCCTTGATTTTGTTGTTTCCTTTTGTATAACTTTGTATAGTTTTTTTATTTAACTGAAATGTATTTTATTGTTTATGAAACTCAGTGTATCATCTCGGTATTAAGGTATTTATTTATTTTAACTCTTAACATTTGTACTCAGGCTAAAGTTTCTATTACTATTATAATATTGGTATTATTTGGGTAAGGTTTATTGCTATTATTATTATTATTATTGCTATTATTATTATTATTAAATTTGATATTACCATTGGGTAATATTTTGGTAAGGTATTGGTGCCGTTTAGATTGTTTGATAGATTCTGGTTATAGACTTGGATTTAAACTGCTTATCTAAGCGCTTTAATTGGAATATTTGATAATGACCTTTTCGGTACTGTATTGGGTTTAAATATTATTTTGTTCGGTACGACACTTTCTTTTAGTTGGAATTTTAGGCTATGCTTGTATGTTTTTGCTATGACACTCTCATATTTACCACCATTTATTTATTGTATTGTATTTTACACTATTTTATTTTATTGCATATTTATTTGTTTTATATTTTGTTTGGAGGGTGTTCATACATGAATATTTGAGCATAGGTAATATAGGGACACTATAGTGAGATAGGAACATTTGGTGTCGTTATGTTATTACCTACTTATAAACTCTGTGTGCAGAATTGTTTGTATATTTTCATAATACTGTTGTCTTGTGCTGGACATTGCTTTTGTGAGGATATTTGAACATATTGTGATATATGGATACTATAGTGAGATAGGGACAATAGTTCGAAGATGCGTGGTAAGGTAAACAAACACTTCGTCATAAAATGACGATCTCTATTATAACTATTTTACCTGAGTACAAAATGTTTTGAGTATCGATAAAAACACCCAAATTATATGAAATATGTTTATCTGCTTTTTATGTTATTTTATTCACTTGTTATTTATACTGTATTCTTGAGATTATGACCCATATAACTATGTTTTGTTTTGTATTTTATTTTTATTTGAACTGTGTAAGTCGCCAGGGTTTTTATGGTCCCTTTTCCCTGTGCTTTGACTCAACGGGCCACCCCTTTGTCTTTGCTTAAATTAAATCAGGGGTTTAAAATTAAATACTTGTGTTTCATTAAACCTGACCAATCTCAAAATATCGTTATTATCAATGTAAGTAAATACACAACGTAGAGTCCTAATTTTTATAAAGTAAGTAAATTATCTAGACGATCACGAATATGCCAAATCAAGTATTTCAGTATACTTAAAGAATCGGGTTACAAAAAATACATAGTGTACCTTACAACTCTAAAACGCCTTTACCAATCTTTATGAAATTTTGTATAAAAATACTTAAAACTTATATCTCAGTTTATGTGTTCGAGGGTTTTGTAAAAATACAGCCCTTTTATTTAAAAATAAAAAAACGTTCAAGAAATAACTTTTAGGGATTTTTTTAAGTAAATAAAAAATAGGATGTTAAAGACCGTATTTTTGTTAGTATACATACCCTGAAAATTTTGTACAAATCAAACGAACAGTAAAGAAGATACAGCGCTTCAAAGTCGGTAAAAATGACCCCTTTTTGATTATTTTGCTGAAAAGTGGTAATTTTTGATGACTTTGAGGCGCTGTATGTTCGTTACTGGGCCATTCCACGCTTAACGGATAGGACAGTTGCCGTGTTTTTATTTACAAAATAATATTGTTCTATTATATTACCAATGTCAAATTTTTATAAATAGTTCTAAACAAAAGCTGTTTAACAAGGTTTTTATTTGGCAAAATTAGGTATCGTGATTGACTGTTTAATTCCTTAAAAATTAATAATTTAAAGCGTAACGGGCGGGACTATTACAAAGTCCCGTCCGTTACGCTTTAAATTATTAGTTTTTAAGGAATTAAACAGTCAACCACGATACCTAATTTTGCC